GCTCCTGTTCCGCCGCCGCCGCCTACTACTCCTCTTCTTCCTCCTCTTCCTCCTCCTCCTCCTCCTACTCTTCTTCCTCCTCCTCCTCCTCCTCCTCCTCCTCCTCCTCCTCCTCCTATTACTCCTTCACCTCCTATTCCTCCTCCTCTTCCTCTTCCTCCGCATCTTCATCATCCTTCCTCCTCCTTCTCCTCCTCCTTCCCTCCTCCCCTCCCCTCCTCTCCTCTCCTCCACTCTTCCACTCCCCTTCCCTCCTCCCCTCCCCTCCCCTCCCCTTCCCTCCTCCCCTTCCCTCCTCCCCTTCCCTTCCCTTCCCTCCTCCCCTCCCCTTCCCTTCCCTCCTCCTCTTCCCTCCTCTCCTCCCCTCCCCTTCCCTCCTCCCCTCCCTTCTTCCCCTTCCCTCCTCTCCTCCCCTTCCCTCCTCCCCTCCCCTTCCCTCCTCCCCTCCCCTTCCCTCCTCCCCTCCCCTTCCCTCCTCCCCCCCCCTCCCCCTTCCGCACATCCGGGCCCGCGACGACACCATCGTGGCGACACCGAGCGTGCTAACTCATCCTCCATCACGAATACATTACGCGTCCCGGCGATACCATCTTCTTAGGCGTGTGTCATTTTTTTTCGTCTCGCTTTTTTTGTGGTCACTGACCCTTTATGTCGTGGGCGTAAAACGCTGCCGCCGCTGGGATCGTGGGCGAGATAGATTAAAAAAAAAAGTGAAAGAAAGAGGGAGAGAGAGTTTAAAGGGGAGATCCAAGAGGTAATGGGGGTGGTTGATGAAAAGTATGTATTTATATGTATATATATGTTTATTTATTTTATATGTATATATATGTATGTGTGTGTGTGTGTGTGTGTGTGTGTGTGTGCGCGTGTGTGTGTGTGTGTGTACATATGCATATAGATACACACACACACACACACACACACACACACACACACACACACACACACACACACACACACACACACACACATACATACATACATGATAAGAATAATAATGACACTATTATGAAAACAATAATAAGGAATGTATATATATATGTATGTGTATGTATATACATATATACATACATACACACATTTATTATATATACATATATATATACATACATGTGCACATACACTCATTCGTATATATATGTGCGCGCGTGTGTATGTGTGTATGTATGTATAGATATATACGAATGTGTGTATATGATATGTTTTTACTACTTATTAAGTTATAGACATACACAGATATACGTATGTATTTGTGTAACTCCCAGGTATAGTAATATAGATGTATAGATACATAGAGAGATGCTGGATAGGACTTTTGGGATATAAGGTATATACCTATACATTTCTCTTCATTAATGCATGCTGAACATTAACATATTTCTAGATTTAATTTACTCAGCAAATTTATCTCGAATCAAAAGGTCAACCATATTAATATTCTAACCTTCGTGTATGCATAGCGTGTTTAAATACGCAGAGTAATTAAGGTAACTTTCTCTTTCCTCTCTCACTCTCTCTCTCTCTCTCTCTCTCTCTCTCTCTCTCTCTCTCTCTCTCTCTCTCTCTCTCTCTCTCTCTCTCTCTCTCTCTCTCTCTCTCTTTCCCTTTCTCTCTCTCGCTCTCGTTCTCTCTCTCTCTCTCTCTTTCTCTTTCTCTTTCTCTTTCTCTTTCTCTTTCTCTCTCTCTCTCTCTCTTTCTCTCTCTCTCTCTCTCTCTCTCTCTCTCTCTCTCTCTCTCTCTCTCTCTCTCTCTCTCTCTCTCTCTCTCTCTCTCTCTCTCTCTCTCTCTCTCTCTCTCTCTCTCTCTTTCCTCTCTCTCTTTCCTCTCTCTCTTTCCTCTCTCTCTTTCTCTCTCTCTCTCTCTCTCTCTCTCTCTCTCTCTCTCTCTCTCTCTCTCTCTCTCTCTCTCTCTCTCTCTCTCTCTCTCTCTCTCTCTCTCTCTCTCTCTCTCTCTCTCTCTCTCTCTCTCTACTCTCACTCTCACTCTCTCTCTCTCTCTCTCTCTCTCTCTCTCTCTCTCTCTCTCTCTCTCTCTCTCTCTCTCTCTCTCTCTCTCTCTCTCTTTCTCTCTGTCTCTTTCTCTCTGTCTCTTTCTCTCTCTTTCTGTCTCTCTCTCTCTCTTTCTATTTTTATTTCTTTCTCCCTCTCTCCCTCTCTCCCCCTCTCCCCCCCCTCCCTCCCCCCCCTCCCCCCCTCTCTCTCTCTCTCTCTCTCTCTCTCTCTCTCTCTCTCTCTCTCTCTCTCTCTCTCTCTCTCTCTCTCTCTCTTTCTCTCTCTTTCTCTCTCTTTCTCTCTCTCTCTCTCTCTCTCTCTCTCTCTCTCTCTCTCTCTCTCTCTCTCTCTCTCTCTCTCTCTCTCTCTCTCTCTCCTCCTCCTCTCTCTCTCCCTTTTCCTTGCTTTCTATTACTCTCTGCTGCTCACTCGTTATTGCTCCTTCCTCCTTCTCCCTTCCCTCCTTCTCTCTGTTTATTTTATTACCCTTTTGAACAATGGCGAGAAAC